CTAAACACGAGGGGGGGGGGGGGAGATTGTCTGAGAACTATTTTTGACCATTTCTATATTGACCATAATTATTAAGTACCAAAATTGTAAAGTCATTGTATTTAAATTTCTAGGAGGGATGTTCTGTCAGAGGACGGTTCCCCCCTTTTGTAAAGATCTTAAAAAAATAGTTTAATTTTTTTTTTTTTTTTTATTTATGAACTGTAATTGTCTTCCGATTTTATATTATTTTTCATTGGTAAAATTTAAGCATCCTTGTACTTCTTTTCTTGTTATTTCTTTTTTTGTTAAACAAGAAAAAAGAAATATGAAACGCCTTTCTTTTTCAGTAATCATTATATGCGGTACTCCTTTTGCGATGTCAAGACTGCAAAAAAGCCATGTTTTCGCATTCAGACATGATCGAACTTATGCTGAGGATAGCACCTGTGGCACCCACCAAGGCCTATGCAATCGAAACGGCTGAGAGGCTGGCAGGTTGCTACTGCAAAGTCGTTAGGAGCCATAAAGACCCAGGAAACGAGGAGAGGTCAGCCTACGAGTGTTCCGGAATAATGATTCGTGGTATAAAATAATGGGCACAGACTTTACGCTTGGAGCTTTACTTGAGCGCCAGGCCGTCGCCTTCCGGGAGGAACCCAATCGAAGACCTGCTTGGGCAACCGATCATCTGCCATCCTTCGCACATGTCGATACCAGACCAACTGCTTGGACCTGATATCGTGCACGATTTCCTTCTCCACACCCATTATCTCGCGTACCCTTTCATTGCGGATACGCTCTCTTCTCGATATCCCAGCAGACCTTCGCCAAAAGTCCATCTCAGTTGCCCTAAGCATGTGTTGTAACTACTAATTATTACAACACAATTATTCACACAATTTTCAACAAATCATGGCTCCTTTGCTCAATATTCATTCAGATTTAAGAAGAGAAACACCCCACATTGCCCAATGTGCAACACCTTAGCAATCGATACAGCAGAGCATACTTTCTTCCATTGTGAATCCTTCAAATCACCAAGAATTCAACTCCAGAAGCTTCTAAAAGTTACATTAACACCTGAAAACATCATTGAACAGATGACTAGCACAAATAAAAAATGGCACCTTATTCAGGAGTTTATAACCAACATTCTGAAACAGAAGCAAAGAGCCTCAAAGCGATCCCGGTGATATAATCCCAACCTAATGTACAATTATTAATTATAGTTTTAATTAATTCATCTCTTTCGATATTATAATCCTCTTTTAATAACTTTGTACCATTATCTCTATATATGTTTTATACTCTTACTTTTTTCTAATTTAGACTGTATGTATAAGCCTTCACGCCAATTTCTGTCAAAATTGGTTGCAATTTGTATATACACTAATCAAAATATTATACATAAAAAAAATTGTTTAGTTCCCACACTTATTAGGCGTTGTAAAGTTTTTGTAACTTTTGATGTAGCAATAAATATGAGCATATTTTACAAAGGAACAGCGCAAAATATTGTTACAGTAAATTACAACAAACTTGAGGCGGGGACTTCTTCTCAGGACGTTGTACTGACAAGACGCACGCTCTTTCGCTCCTCTCATTTTTTGCTTTAAATTCGTTAATTCTTAACTTTAGTGTAATTATCTTATATCATCGTGTTGGCAATTTCAAGCTGGACTTGTAGGCCCTTTTGTTTTCGCGAAGTTTTCCTCCGCTTGGGGGAAAACTGAGTTTTCTTGATCTCGGCGTAACGGTTTTTCGAAAACAGTGGTGTCGAGTGATGACGGTTAGGTGTGCACAGTGAACGCATTTACGGACTCAAACGGAACGGTCTGACAACGCAAGTTTCTCGCGGCGGACATAACTTTTATCAATCGATCGTGAGATAAGATTGACAGCGCACCCGCGTCCGATCAACGGCCGTTTGTTAATCGCTTTCAACTAGCAACTTTAAATAAGATAAGTGAATGCATGCTTGTTTACAAACTTTCTAACCTAACCTGACTCAGAGTAAGTTGTCATAGGACGACCGAAGTGACTGGGTATTACCGCTATCTCTTCGGACTTGAACTTTGAACTCAAACAATATGAAGAAGTGTTTCACACATAACAAGGTGGGATGTGAGATTTGTAAATGCCTGACTCACGGGAGGACTGATTGCGGATCGACGAGCTGCACAGCATGGAGGGAGTCGGAGATTTCCCTGGAGGAGGACAGGATGCGGGAGATGAGTAACGGCGCAAAATCCTCAAGAATAACGAGAGGATTTGATGAATTTCTGAAATTGACGACACAGAATGAAACACTTTCTGTAGACTTAGAAAATAAGGAGTCAGAGATCAGGGGTCTCATCCTTGAAATGGGGAAATTGGAGAAGTCCTCTCTCGGAAAGGACAAATTAGAAATAGAAAGCCTAGAAAATAAGGCCCTAATCTTAAAGAAAGCAGCCAAAAAACTGCACGAGGAAAGGAGGGAAATTCGAATTAACATCGTTCAAAAAATGATGAAAGAGAAGGACTCTCCACTTAATAAAGTGGATGAAATTAAAAAGGGAATTCTGGGGAAAGAAAAAGGGATGAAAGCTCTTTCGGAATTGATTGTCGAAAAATCAGACATCAGGGATGATAAAATTCTCGAAAAAGGGAAAATCGATAAAAGCTCAGACGCGGAAAATTTTGCACGCCTCTCAAAGGAAATAGGGAATATCAGGGATGAGATCTCTACTCTCGAAGAAAGAAATTGTGGAATGCGGGCCGAGAGGGAGGCTCTTATCTCTAAATTAGACGAAATTTTGGAATCTGCTCCGAGAAACAAGGAGAACAATAAACCTCAAGGTGAGGACTCAAAAACTAAGGATAAGGGTATTGAAATGGAAGTTGACACCTTTTCAGGCAAGAGAAAGATACATGACCTCTCGGACGTATCTATATTTCTCGACGATGATGATGATACCCCCCTAACTTTCGATAAACCTAAATCGGTCTCTACACCGGCGGGTTCGGACGATGAGGGTACAAGGAAACTCAAGGTTGATAATGGGGGAACCAAGAAAGGGAAGACGGATAAAACGGAAACAAAATTAGGTACGGAAACAAAATTAGGTATTAACAGCAGAAATGGGGGAAAACAAGGGAATTCTCGTGGAGGAGGAAATAGGGGAAAAGGGGAGAGCCGTAGTCTCTCCAGAACCAGGACTAGAATCCCGACAAGGAATAACCCGGGAAACGAAAATGAAAATGGAAAGGGGAAAACAGATAAAAGTACCAATACGGAAGAGGGAAAATTATCTCCTGACTTATTAAAATTTTTGAAAGTTTTTGAGGAATCGCCATTGATTAAGGGATTGGTTAAGACGTGTCAGGAGATCAGGCAAGAGGTTATCTCTTTAAAAAAGGAAGTTAAGGAGATTCATGGAAACATAGGAAAAGGGAAGAAAGAGCTGGGAAAAGAAGATCTGACCAAATTGAAGGAAATCTCGGATAGTCTTAGTAAAACAGATACAGGTCAGATAATTAAACTTGGGGAAAAATTAGATGGGATATCGAAGAAAATTAACTCGACGGAATCATACGCCAAAAAAGCGGCTAGTAGTGGTACTCCTAGGAAACCGGAAATCCCGTTTACTATACCGTCATTTCGAAAAGCGCGCGGAAAAACCAAAAAAATAAGAACCCTAAGAAGGTTAAAATCCTAGTTAAATCCACAGAGGAGAAACCGGTGGAACAGGAATCCAAAAAGATTTTCGGGAAAATCACCGAAAAGGTACCCGAAAAAAGAGTAAGGGATAAGAAATGTAGGATCTTAGAATATAAACTGTTAAAGAAAGGGGTGATACTGGAAGCCGAATGCGAAGAGGAAAACAAGGAAGAAATCATGGACATTTACAAGAAGGGTTTGGGCACGAACTTTACACTTGGAGCTTCAGCATATCGGTTTACAGTATCTACGATGCGACGCGCTATGTTCCGAACACCTACTACACCACGCATGCCCTTTCATCACTTAAAGATTAAACGTGTTAAACGTGTATCATTCTTATGTTTGGGTTGGCAACTGTGTGTCAAAGCTAAGCAGACAGTGCTCAGTGTCTTCTTGTGATTTTTGGTTGTTTTTGTATTTTTCGGGAGGCGTAAGTGGGGTTCGGGAAGAGAAAGTGCGTGAGAACTCGGGATGGATTCGCGTCTGCGGGATCCTTAATGCCTCCTTGGATTGAAAAAAACCCTGTTATTCTGCGTGAGACAGGATTTTGTGACGATAGCGAGGGGTTAGTGTGATTGCGGAGTGCTAGTGTGTAAAGTCAAAAGTTGCTAGCGCTACGCAGATTTTATCAATTTTTTTCAAAACATACTTGCACACTCTGCCCGAACAAATAGAGATCCCTATCTTTGGGACCTGCCTTAGCTATGGTCATACAAAAAACTACTGTAAATCTAAATTAATATGTATCATTTGCAACGAATTTCATCATAGTAAAGTAGATACGCCCTATCCCAGAATTATAGCGACACAAAATAACGAAGTATGGAAACCAACGTGCCTCCACTGTAAAGAGGCACACTTCACAACCTGGAAAGGATGTAAAGTTTATAGAAAACTGCGAAATCAAAGAATTGAAAAATTTAAGAAAATTAGCGAAGAATGTAAAAATATGGCCATGGAGAGGCAGAGTTCCACAGATTCACGATAACGGGTAGGTAGGTGGTAGGTATACATATACAACTTCCAGCGGGGAACTTCAAAGTAGAGCATAGAGAGAGAGAGATATTAGTTATAAAGCATTCTCCGTCATTTAAGACCGGACTTGTTAAGCTGCTTACTGTGAAACATCTAATGTGGGATACGTGTATCCCACATTAGATGTTTCACAATTTCAAATATTTTCAGAGAATAACTTCTGAAGGTCCCCTTTCGCCTCCCAATCAAAATGTCTGGATCCGCCCCTGCCTTACCCCGCAATCGGTGCAAAGAATTTTATCCTTCATTCTGAGGGATGGGCAAAAACAGTACCCGAGAGTCAGAATGGTCGCATTCTTATGATATTATTGTTCGTTCAAACCGTATGAAAGTCATTTCCTTTTTCGGGGCGGACGCTCGGCGAATAGATCAATGGACGAAGCCTGTATCTTCTCGTAACCCCGAGATTCAGAAATAGTTGTGACCAACTTGAATATTCAGTCATCTCTTGATGATGACGTTGCGCTGGCCAAGCTGATTGCTTTCTGTTGGGTGGTGAGGTCGATGATTGGTTAATCATCACCGTCAATCATTTATCAACCGTCAATCATTTGCTGCAGCATCCGATTTTCCTGTTTTGTAATCCAGAGATGGTGAACTTCCGCTGTAAAAACGCGGGTGCTCTGTCGAAGCTAACTGACGATTTTCTTTTCCTTTTTTTGCATGGGTTTCGATCGACGGTTGCGTGATTCAAGTGAAACCTACGTGAAAAAGAGAAAAACATGCTCCGATGAGACTCCAGTAATATGGGTAGGACACCGCGCGCAGTGGCAAGCATATATATTGACTACATTTTGTAATTGAGAACTAATACATATATTTCTGAATCGATTTTGAGACATCATTTGCACTATTCTGCCGTGCTAAGGAAGAACGCCGTATGGGCCATCAGACGTTGCCAAGTTTCATTTGATAAAACACGAAATTCCTGGTGAACTTATGAATATTTTTCCTGTAATTTTTGGATAATTTTGTTCGCAATTTCACCTGAAGGTCCTGAAAATTTCAATGAAAAATATTCACTACTAATATTTCCTTGAAAATGAACGTTTTATCGAAGGAAATTTGGCAGCTCTCGAATTTTCACACGGCGTTCTTCCATATTAGTTTCGTATTAGTTTCCATATAGAGCTACATGCTTTTGATCATGAGCGAAAAATAGTGGTTCTTAATTGCACTTGTCGTCCGAATAAAAATAACTGTTAAGCTCTTCACGAGGGTCACCAGTCTTCGATGGTTGTTTATACGAAAATTTATTCACAGTTAAGATACTTACGATTGTAGTATTTCAATAGTCAGAGGTCAGTCGCGACTCTCGCAAGTTAACAAAAATGCAGGCTGCTTACGTAAAATAATAATAATGCACATTTTGTAATAATATTCTGTCCGTTAATTCTGACGAAATTCAAGAGAAGAAACCAACTGTAAATTAGGTAAAACCAAATAATAAGGAGAAAAAAATGTACCATAGAACGATTTGTTGAAATTGATGCATTTTGAGGCTTCGTTGACTCCACCGATAATTAATTATATCATAAATCATATGAATAAAGTAAAACATCTAAAAATAACATTACGATGCACTTTCAACACGGAACATACTACGCACACGCGATATTCCATATTATTTTTCCTCGAGTATATCATTCTTTAATTTTGTTTTTTTATGGGGGGGGGGGGGTCCTGCTGTACTTCTTTCTAGCAGGAGACTTACATAACTTTCGCCTTTTTTTTCGATGTGCGCTGCTAAGTTGTTCAGACGAAACTGAACTCTAACTTCATCGATTTATTAAGGCCACCAAGGAAGGTCTAAACATTCGAGTTATTATCAATAATTATATCTTATCTCAGGGGGCATTCAACTGAGAAATTATGAGCCATTACTCAACAGTGACTTTTGATATAATCTTTATATCAAATCTTCACCATGATTAGATAATTCTCTCATAATTGTGTATGTATAGAACCATCATTGGAAGAGAGACTCTTACGGCAAAGAGGAAACTATTGTAGGCAGGAAAGTAATTTTTTTCGAGCTGGGTGGAAACAATTAGAATTGAAGCCACGGCGGGAATGTCTCTCAAGCCCTCTAAGGAACAAATTATAATAAATTAGGAGCGGCTAATTTCATTTTTATGCAGAAGTAAGATGAAAAATTGGCCCTTAACCCCAAAAGAACATCGGTCTGCTAAAATACAAGGAAAAACTCTCAATTAGTATCTTGGCAATGGTAGAGGCATTCACTTTTGGGATCCAACTTTTAAATTACGTCCTAGGTATACTGTCCAACAGTGTGTTGAGAATTTCATTCAGAAAACAAGGTACATTTTTTCAAACTTGTTTGGCACATCGTGTCGTTTGAAGCTCATCAGGTAACTAGTAAGTAGGCCAACAGCATGACACATAGATGATGACTGTCGGTGCCCTAAAATTGTTCATAGGGAACTTTTGGATCCTTGAAAGTGAAAGTTTCCATCCGTCGCTGGTAGGTAAATGGATTGTCTCTTCTTGTCTTTGAATCACATAGAATAATTGAAGGTGATCTAGTGTCATTTTTCATTTTGTTTTAATAGTGTGAAACTATCTTAGCATAGGTTTAATTTTACTATTAATCACGAACTTCGCTGCAATATTTTAATGAAAGAGCTTATAATGCTCACGAATTTTGTAATATCGATATTCAAGTTCTATATTCAGAGGAGGACAGTCAGTAAGAAGGTTTGTCGCTAGCTATGGCAACACTGGAACAGCCCATACTCTCGTTCACGTCCGACAGAGCGAAGAGCTTCGAAAACTTGCTGTTTCCTAAACTCTAACTGAGCAACCTCTATAAAACAGCAAAACATCTAATTCGATTTTAAAGTTTTTAGAGAAAGCCAGTGACTTTGAGGTGTAGTCGCACAATCCCATCGTTTTTTAAATCCTCATATTAACAAGATTAAACTGAATTTAAGTCGCTAAAGTTAACTGGGTAACGGCTCTAGAAAGTCAAGTAGTGTTTGTTGCGCACCGGTTATTTGAAGGCGCAGTTTCTGTCTCCCAACTCAACTTTACTACACGATGGTGTCAATAATCAGAAAATCACCCTTTGCAATGCATATTGCTCATTCGTCGGATGGATGGGTAGTGTTAACCGAATTTAGCCAAATTATATCAAACGCTGCCTTGTTTTTCACAAATCTTAATTTTAAGAGAAAACCAATCGACATTCTGTCTTGAATTTTGTGAGGATATTTTTCATGCCGTGAGAAAAATTTACCGTAAGTTTCAAAACGGCATTTTTTTTCTTGGAAAGAAAATAAGAGATGAGGGAAAATCAGGCTGCGGAAAACATAGTTAAGCTGATTCTGGTTGAATACGTCACGTAAATTTTCGTACTTTCCCCGTAAATTCGTACTTTTTTGCCTCTCTTTTGAACTCGGAGAGCAAATTCCGAAACCATGATTGAGGAAGGGGCGCATTAAGGGGTTGAGCTTGCCTCAACTGGTCTTAAGAGGAAGAAAGGGGCTTAAACCCAGTCTTACGTACCTTCCTCTTTAAAACACTAGCATACTATATTGCCTGAAGCGCGAATCACTTCGGGGGACTTTTGTCATGCAAAATTAGAGGACCAGGCCAGCCTTACGAAATAGGTCTGATGCAAGCAGGAGATGGAGCCAACTGAAAACACTGTTTAGGGGAAAATTTGCTCAAAAATCACGTCGGGATCATCAAACAAGTTTGACATTTTCTCCTTAGCACGCAATCTGCGTAGTTTTTAATCCGCTGTTTCAAATTTACCGGTATGCGGGCAGTTTTTCTTGGTGGCCGGCAGTCAGATTTGCCCAAAGAGTGATCTCACCCAGTAGGGGTGCACCCCTGCTGACGAAGGCAAAGGGGGGTGAGGCCCTAAAGAAGAAAGTCAAGAGATCAGATCTTATGGACCTATGGGTTAATAAAATGCTACACCTGAAGTATGTACATGGTGGAATTATTATTAAAAAAACTTCAAATCGGTTTTATTTACAATGTTTTGACGTACGGTGAATGCTAAAGAATGTAGAATCCCATCTGTTTCTCATGGGCATTTGAAGGTCGGAATTGCTCGAAACATCGGAAATAATCGGATCAATGAAGAGAAGACTCATTAGAAAAACTTTCGTATCATTGGGACGAATACCTTCCTTATCGTTTAACATGGGGAAAAGGTATTACATTTCCGAAATATGCCTCACTTTTCCTACAGAGAATGCAAGCGTAACACAAAATGAATTCAACCCGCTTTAAATTTCGAAGGACTATACTTTCATGGGAATTTACATCCACCAATATCGCAAGACAAATCACAGTGCTGACGTCTGTTAAAATAAATCAAAAGTATTGTAGAAGAAGGCGACATTCAGCTTCACCGTACTTTATACATATGTCCCTGAACTATGACATTAAAATTGAATTCAGGAGAACCACAATATTTGCTCTGTAATCCTCGCTTGCCCTATTCAAGTTTTTTCGACCTGAGCGCTCGTGTTTCAAATTGAGAAATGGATTTGTCCCATTGCGAAATATAAGGAGCCATTCGGAGCGGTCGATGATCAAACTTTCGCTTTCATTCCGTCGTATTACTTTTGAGGGGTACTTCTTGCAGGAAACACGACGAGAAAGTCAATGCATCTCCTACATATATTACACGCCCTTGTTTTATATTAAGGATGATGTAACCTCATAAAGTTTCCAGATAATTTATATTTCTTACAATTTAATTTTTTAAATTAACTTCCCTGTACAGATAGGTGCTTTCATGGACGAGAGAAAAAAGTGTTACCTCATGGCGAAATTCGGTTTCGTCGGGGTTTTTTTCCAAATCTTCAAATATCAGGTTTTTTGAGCTAATTTAAAAATAAAAACATCATGCAGTCGTTTTTTCGAATTTTATTTCTTTCTTGTTTTTTTCATTGAAATTTCACACATATACTCTTCACACATTAAATACAAAACAAAGCGATTTTATTGAAAAACATATTCACAGCGCATTTAACCTCTTTACACTTGCAAAACTATCTTTATTATCATTGTTGCCTGATTGATTTCATCATTCTATTCTCTTTTTTTCTTAGTTATCACGTTTATCAATTTTTTTCTTTCTTATCATTTATTTGAGTTGTAAATATACCAATAAACGAAGTTAGGAATTAAAAAAAATACCGACGCAGTAAGTTTTTACCGGAATGTTGAAGGGTGCTTTCCGCCTGGCTTAATAAAACAAAAAATACAAAAATACAACCTAATATAATACACCAACTTAATACGAAACATTGCTTTTTGATCAGGATAAATATTTACAGCGTAAAATTGTAAATATAACGACGGTGTAGGTGGGCAATCACATAACTCGGTTTACGACGTCGCAGACTTTCTGTCATGCTTTTTTTAAGATGGAAAACTACTCAAGGGCAATTATTTAAAACTGTCGTGATTTTTCTTTTCTGTGCGAATATAATTCTGCAAAAACTTAAAGGAATGATGTCACTTTGTTCTCCTGTAAAAAAATAACATAGAGGCGGAGATTTTTAGACACCGATATGAGATATGTGATTGCGAACTTATGCCGTCGAAAAATAAAATGTGCAGAATTAGGCATCAGTAAGGATGATACCGACAAGAAAACTTGTACCGGAATGATGAATGATTTCATGTATGTACGATGAAAAGTGTACTCCTTCTAACTAAACTTAATCCATTCGCCTATAATTTAGATCAAACAACGTTTTCTTAGGGCGCTCAAAATTACTAGAGTTCAACGATATACAACGATACGATCCGATACGATACGATATTCGTCTGGGTCCGATTGATACTAATGGGTCACTTATGCTGGTCGTATTGTTGACTATCCGTGGTTTAAGATTTTTTGATTTACTTCTAAATATCGATACAATAATAAGTTTTATATTGACAATTTTCTTGATTATTTTATCGACATTTGTCGAACCTCATTCGTTCAACAATCGGAATTCATATGATGTATTGGCAGTCAATCTATTGGTCATTTCATTTTATCTTTTTCAGTTCTAGGTCAAAGCTTTCTCCCTTATCCTATATTCCGGCCTTTCTTGGATAGAATTTTTTTATATCTCATTAAGAATTTTATAGTGACCGAGTGTTGAAAGTAATCGAACAAAAGTTCACTTACAAAAGCAAGAAAACTCATAAATAACCCAACGATAAGACCAATGAATCCGGCTTGTAAATCATTTAAATTGAACGCGCGTGGCTCCGAACTATTTTCAGCGTAAGGTACGTCCAACTCCAGTTCGCCCTCTGATGTTATAGGTGTTTTCAATATCTCTCTAGCATGTCCAGTTTCGAAGTACTGGGCCATCATGTGATTCACTTTATCGAAGAGGAAGGAATCTTTCGAAAATGAAAATATCAACGGGTATGTCATTAGACATTCACTCATTAAATGATACTCATACCATTGATAATTTAAGCAAACTATATGTCCTACCTGAATATTTTTTTGGGGTCTTGAAGAGAAAGGTACACTCACCAAAATGGCATCTGTCTCTGCTGTCGAACGCATATTTTTATGGGCCTCCTCGATCTCAATTCCAACATTTTTGTGAGTGAGCAGAAATACAGGTAATGGGTCATGTAAAGGATCACTTTTGTTCCAAGTCTGTGCAAGCAGGCTAGTAAATATCTGATTGCTCACCTCTTTTTCGTAATAATACAAGGTGTCTGCAAGTTTTGCTTGCAGTTCCATGGACTGGTTCAAGTGGTCAAAAAGATTCGTTTCAATCCATTTTTCCTCAGAAGTTTGGATGAGCATGTCAGATTCTTCCAAACTTTTTAAAGTATTGATTTCCGGATACAAAACCCTGTCACTAAGCAATGTTGTCATGCCGCTCAAAAAAACTGTGGAAATAATAATAGTAGAAAAACTTAAAATTAAAAAGAGGATCTTTCCTGTAAACAAATGACCAAGATGTAAGGATGGAGGGCTCCCACAGATGAAGTAAGCATAGACAGTCAACAGGGCGGAGGTTCCCCTATAATAATCAACCTCAGCATCTGTATAGAAGCGATGGAATAGTTTGTACTGCGAATACTGGAAAATAAATTGCATCATGACAAGTGTGGTGATCGCTACAGAGATAAATGTCCAAACAACCGGTGAAAAACTCTTGAAAATAACCAGGCCTTGTGACATGTAACCACTGTGAGGGGTGGCAATGCACAACGCACTCGTGTCAATACTTACAGATATATCGAGTTTGGAATAATCACTTCCCTCTAGAATTATTCCTGTTTCAAACAAAACCAGGCCTACGTCGTGTCTGAGTGCATACTCTATGTCGTACGTTATTGCATACGAAAAGTCGTCTGAATGATTATGAGTAAAATTTAAAGAATGTCTCAAGTGTTCAAGCACGGTTGTATAAAAACCATACCAGTTACTCCAAGCTGCTGCGTTTACAGTTCGTAAACCGCTTTGTCTCGAATAGTCTTCCCAAAACTTAACAGGTTTCTTATGCATGTTTGTCCAAGAGAAGTCGAAAAAATCCCTGACCGCCTCGGTCCTGTCCTTGTAGAAAAGAAGGCTCTCCTTGAACGGCTCGTATCTTTCACAGCCGCCTGGGTGACATATGACAGTTTTCATGCCTTTGAAGAAGCGCCAAAAGAATTTGAAACAAAAAATTGGATCAAGGTTTTTGCCGTCTTCGAAATTCGGGAGAGTATCATTACGGGGCACTTTTGGCGGCCGCCCTTTGATACTTCGGCCCTCATTTTTTAATAGAAAAATTAAATGGTTCCGGTAGTTCCAAATCTTGTTGCGGTAGAAACCGCGAGTTGCATTGAAAACTGAATTACTAAGAATCGAACCATTTTCCAGTTCGGTGGATGTTATGCTTATCTCTTTCCTGCAACCCTCGCGGGGCCAAAGGTATGGAAGTCCATCAATTTTAATGCAATAACGAGGTAAGGTCGCTATTGTCTGATTTATGGCGTCCTTCGTGCCACGCTCAAAGCCCGTTTCACGGTTCAGCTCATGATACTCTGATTGCGATAAAGTGTAAAAAGTAAAGTCGAACAGCTCATCAACGTCATTAAAATTGAAGATGATATTTTTTCTGTGATCAGTAAACATCAAATCAGTCATTTTTCTGTGATCAGATATCGAGACCGTCTGAATTGCAGTTGCATGCATGTCTTGAACGAGCTGCTGAAATGACGGATCTGAATGTAGATCTACCGTGTAAAACAACTTTAGCTCGGTTCTGTTTACTATGTTTTGACATACGGTGAATGCAAGATAATGAAGAGACTCCCACCTGTTTTCCATGGGCAGCTGAAGGTATGAATTGCTCGAAACGCTGGAAATAATCGGATTAATGAAGAGAAGACTCAAGTGGAATAACTTTCGAATCATCGGGAGGAATGCCATCACTGTCATGGTTAAACACAGAGGAAGAAATTAAATTTCGGTAATATGCCTTATTTTGCCTACGCAGCGTGCAACTTTTCATCAAAATAATTTCAACCCTCTTTAAGTTTTGAAAGAGTACGTTTTTGTGATAAAATTCAACCACACTGCAACACAAACCAGAGTGATGCAAAGTTAGTTGAAAGCTGTCAAAAAAAAAAGAAGATAACATTCAGTTTTCCTGTACTTTATATGACCCTGAACGATTGATTTAACGATTGAATTCAGAAAAAGTATACATTTCAACCTTCATTTGCCCTATTCAAGTATGTCAGACCTGGGCGATCGTGTTTCAATTTGGGGAATGGGGTTTTCCCGTTGAGAAATAGAACAAGCCATTCGGAGCGGACGAAGATGAAGTTCTCATTCTCAGTCCGGCTTACTACACATTTTAAGGGGTACTTCTAAATGGAAACGCGACGGAAAAGTCAATGCATTTACCATTGAACGCTGATGTTTTATATTTAGGACGATGTAACCTCATAAAGTTCCCATATAAATTAAAATGGCTCCAATCAACTCATCTCTGACCTTCGTGCGTCAGATTGGGAAAGACATGAGAATAAAAGAGATTATAACTTCTCAAAGCACGGTTTTTGCCGATCCAAGTGACGCTGTAAGCGTATTTTCGTTGATGATCGATGTAGATCACACGGTTTCGTATATTGCCATGCTGATTGCCTATCATTTTTGCGGAAGAATGCTTACTAATGAATTTTCTTGTTCATTTTCGTTTGATATTAGAGTCTAAAGATTGATAGTGACATTTTTCGTTTTCATAGGTTACCTACCCTTTTGGGCCCTATATATTTCGAGACGTCCGTACTCTCTCTATGTAGGCACTCTGTTAGAAACAACGCAGATTGCGCGGTAAAAAGCAGAATTCAGACTTTTTTTATGTGCCCAACGTGCGATTTTCGAGTGAATTTACGCTCAGAAAATGTACTTACTTGACTGTATCTCTTGCGTACACCAGACCTATACAGGGAAGGTTGCCTCACGGATCCCGCAAAGATAAAAGGAGGGGGGTCAAAAAGTCGGAAAAAATGTCTTACTTGATACTTCAACTCTCAAACCTGGTTCCTCATACTCAAATTATGACTACAAATGCATTAATTTACCAGTGAACTGCACGGACTCACGTCGAAATCTTTGTGAAAATATACCAGGATTTTCATAGAAATTCAAGGAATTCATTAAAATCATTCAAGAGATACAATTAGAAAAGTGGTAAAATTTTAATTGCGCTCAATGTGACTCCGTGACTGGTTTTTCTTTCTGTTTTTTCCTCATTTTCAAACTTTTTTTTCTTTTTTTTTTCTTTCTATTGTTCCGTTTTGATTCTCAAATCACGGAATTTCAAATGAATTGAATGAACATTTGTTCCGTTTTTTGGGTAGGCCGGGTCACTTTCACGTGAAATTTCAATTTGGTCGGCATGAGAAGTGGAAGAAAAGAAAAAAGACTGAAACGAGAAATTGCCAGAAAAATGGCAGCAAGGGAACAGGTGTTTTTTTTTTTTTTTGCTGACCTTCACTTTCCATTTCGCATTAGAAGATTTGCTCTATGCATTAAGCAGTTGCGGTAAATGTATTTCTAAAATGTTTGTACGGACTCACCGAATGAACTCTGAAAAATGCTCAGAGAATGAGGGAGAACCTTTTTAATAGGCAGAACATTTTTTCTTAAACTTCATGATACTGAATGGATACCACGTTTAGTAAACTAAACTAAGATCCTTATCCATTACCATTTCCATAATTCTCCATTACCATTCCCATAATTCTCCATTACCATCCCCAAAACTCGTCATTACCATCCCCAAAACTTGTCATTACCATTCCCAAAACTCTTCATAGCAAAGTTCTCAAACTTACAGGAGTCCTTAAGAAGATAACTTTCTCAAAATGAGCTAATAGACATTGATAGCTCTTCTGCGAATCAAAATGGAGAAGGAACAACAAATACATACAGAATGAATCCTAAAATGTACATGAAAAGAAATATATTTACTAGCGAAAGTATAATTAGACTTTTATAAAAATGATAACTACCTTTTTTAGGTACTGTGAAATAAAATTGAATAAAATTTTACACGGACAATGAGTCACAAAACAGAATTAAAACTGATACTCAAGATACACGTTTCTTTATAAAAACCCTTGTTAAATCTGACGCTCACTTCAGAAAATTATAAATTCAGTTCGGTGAGTATCGTGTATGAATCGGTGAGTCTCTTTGAAGCCTCTACTTTGAACGTCTGATACGGGCTTTTGATTATAACCTAGCCACGGGAAGAAGAAGAGGAGGAATAATCACTTCGCGATCGAGTGTCTCTAGCATGACGAGAGGTTGCTGGTGGCGGAGGAGCCTGGTACTTATCGTGACGACCAGACTGACCATTCTCAGCGAGGGTGTCAAACGGCGATGCAACCCCGTATTTCCTAGGGTCGTAATTGTTCGATGCTTTCCTGCGAAGTACGCGTTTCTTAATATATTGCTTGGATAAATAACCCAAGTAGGCGAGATTTCCTGCGTGAGGGCGCCTATTCACGACAGGCCTGTATCTTAGAACATTCTCCATCCCACTGTTGACGTCACTGACAAATTGTTTGACCCCCGGGCCGTACTCGTCTAGCAGGGGCATCGGATTGGGTACGTGGAAGGTCACGGGTATCGGGTCGTACTGATGACGCTTCAGTCCGCGAGGCTGCAGATCATGCACCGCTCCGGGATTCGAACCGAGGACGGCTGATTTCGCTTGGTTTTGTTCGGGCTCCAGTCGAACTTCTTGTCCCTTGATTGTGACTTCGTTGGGTCGCGTAGGATCGGGAGTTTCACGTTTCTGGAATCAAGAAAAAAAATCAGGAAACTGAAAGTAGCCAGAGAGGTAGGAGGTAGGTAGAAGGTAGAGGTAGAGGTAGAGGTAGAAGTAGCCAGGATCGGGAGTTTCGCTTTTCTGGAATCAAGAAAAAATCAGGAAACTGAAAGTAGTCAGAGAAGTAGAAGGTAGGTAGAAGGTAGAGGTAGAGGTAGAGGAAGAAGTAGCCAGGATCGGGAGTTTCGCGTTTCTGGAATCAAGAAAAAATCAGGAAACTGAAAGTAGCCAGAGAGGTAGAGGTAGAAGTAGCCAGGATCGGGAGTTTTGCGTTTCTATCAAGAAAAAATCAGGAAACTGAAAGTAGCCAGAGAGGATTCCAGAATCCTCTCTGGCTACTTACCCTAAACAAGAAAGAACAAACTTAAGAGTAATTTTGAATTTAACTAGTCTTAAATTTTCCTCTATCGAAAATTCAAAGTCGATAAAATGGGTTTTTTAGGGCATTCCGTCGACGATTTTTTGTCCGCACACCTGTTTTGTCCACTAGCTCACGTCCACGCGTGAAATAAGCAACAGTCACTTGATCCAAGTGTCATATTTTAGTCCGTATATGTAAAATTATATTGACAATAATGAAATGAGAAAATTGAGAGAGACGGAAGAGTTGTGGTAACTCATTTTTTAAGTGACATGTTATTTCCTTCTTTTGATCAATCTTTTTAAATTGTCGTGGGTGAATATTTGGTTTTATTTCCATCCTTAAAATTTTCGATGAAAAATAAACCTTATCCATGATTTTTTTTAATGAAAGTAATCTTTATTTTAAAAATATTTACATTTTTAAAACGTGGCAAACATTTGTAGAACTTTTCTAAGCGATGGCATCGATATTAAAGTCAATGAGCAGTAGTTGTGTCGAAAGAAACTATGCACAAATGAATAAAAGAGGGGAAAACCCGAGAAGCACGCAACCTTCGGTTTTAGCCCATTTGTACATCGATCTTTCAGAGTCAAATACGTCCTATTTTGAGCGTTTGGTTGCGCTCACACCACGCTGCAGCACAGTAAGAGCACAAAATATAAAAGTAAAAATTAATGTGCTTTGAAAATCATTAAATACGACAAGGAAACACCTTAATATTTACAAAACACACTTAAAATTTTCCTTTCATATACATATATTTTTTATCAATTTAAATTAAAGTAATCCATGGAGAGTGTGCAAACATATAAAAATCATGAGTTAAAAAACGCTGACTCCGCGAGTTTAAATAATAGGCTCTAGCATGAAGCGGAGTGATGCGACGTGCTGCCAGCACGAAACGCGCACTGGCGCCTACAAACCTAAGCAGATACTTCACGCATTGCGCAATGCTTGAGGTATCCCTTAGGTTTGTAGGCGCCAATGCGCGTTCCGTGCTGGCTGGCTGGCCGCGCCACAGCATGCCACGTGCCACCGCTTCACTATTTCACAATGAAGGTGTTGTACAGTATTATACGAAATTGAAGGCACTCCAACATACCAACAAAAAGAATGACAGGCATCCTTTAAGAGTACGGAACTTTCCTTGCAAAATAAGGCGAGATAAGAGAGGTGAAGGAATATTCCTGAGTATGCCGTCAAGAAGATTTTATTTTGAATCAAGAATAAAAAAGGTGAACAAAAGCGGATTTCTGTTTGATGTAAGTGACTTTCTGTTTTACAAAAGCGTCTTTTCTTCTTCAAGGAAACATTATTTTCTTTATTATTCTCTCTTTACTTTTTAGGAAATCTTCTCGGCGATAAATTTGAGGATATTTCTCCTTAAATTAGGTCACTTGTTCCTCTAATGAAGTTAAAAATCATACTTAACGTTATTAAATACAGATACTAAAGTGTTTCGACTACCGCTCTCTTTTTGTTGTCGTCACTCGATTTAATTTGCGAGGGAACTTCGAGCTTTTGAAAGATGCCATCAATCATGATACGTTGGGGTGCCTTCGATCTCATATGATACTATGCAACACCTCCGTGGCGAAATAGTAGCTCAAAGCGCTGCGGCAAACCAGTGCCGAAGCGAAGTTATCATGCACAGGAAAAATATGAGATCCTTTAGTTGAGGCAATTCAAAAGATATTCCAGTTCAGGTATGAAAATATGGGATTTTCTTGGAAGATAATTTTGTAAGTCCTATTGCACCGAAAAGGTGTAGAGAGTTTTAGTGAATTTTCTCTCATGGAAATGACTCTCTCTCATTTTTACTAAAAATCTCAATTATATATTTTTCTCCGTTGGAGCAAACAAACAAAAAAAAAAAAAAGAAGAAGCAAACCCTCATTCTTCCAAGACATTAAACATTTTCATCCAAAAACGCCGTAAGCAATTGTCGTTTGTATTTACATGTGGACCGATTAACTTTGAGTCTCAAGTGGTAAGTGGACCAAAACTCCCCTTCCAAAAAAACGCGTGGACGTGAACTACTGGAAAAAATAGGTGCGCGGACAAAAAATCGTTGACGAAATGTCCTGTAACCATAAAATGCATATTATTGAACAGTTGAATACATCGGCAGAAGTCAGAGCGTCCTCTTAAAGGAGTCCTATCGGTCAGGCTGAGGCATGCGACTATTTTAACATTATGGATATGCGGGAAGTATTTCAGGAAATGAAGGCGTTTTGCGGGTCGCTTCATCTATCCTCTCTCATAAAGGAAGTAAGACAGTGGGTCGAATAGAGGCGACTGAGGATCCGATGATGGTGGTGATCTTAAATGAAATGGTTTTTTGCAGTTATCACTGAGGCATTGTTGCAACATCGTCACAAAAATATCAACGCAGAAAATTTTTTTTTTTTTAAATTTTTTATTTGTTAAAAAAGACCGCTCAAAATTAGCCACTTCTACTTTCACCCTTGCATTGATCTTTTTGGCGGAAGGCAGTATCAGTAGGTATCGGTATATTTTTTGATAAATTTTACATCATTTATTGAAGTTTTGCCCCCTCTGAACAACTGTTAATTGGACAGAGTTTGTCGGATAGGAGCCTACCCATATAAAATTGAAACTGAGAAAATATACGACTAGAGGATCTCATAAACATCCTCATCTACATTTCGACGGCGTAAGTCATATATCTCGTTTGAGAAGTCTGAAAATCTCCGCCCTTCTGTTACTTTTTTACAGGAGAACAAATTGACATCATTCCTTGAAGTTTTTGCAGAATTTTCTTCGCAGAGAAAAGAGAAATCACGGCGGTTTTAAAAAATTGCCTTTGAGTAGTTTTCCGTTTAAAAAATACAGTATGACAGGAAGTCTCCGACGTCGCAAACCGAGTTATGTGATTGCTGACGTACACCATCGATATGCAAGAGAGTCTGGATGATATCCAGGAATCGACGATAACCAGAAATGGACGATATCCAGGAATGGACGAATAATGATCGTACTTTGCTCAATTCCACGAAATCCGTCAATGTGCATGGTATTTACTTTGCGCCCCTACGTTCACATACCTATGATTTTAAAGAATACTGCAATCCCTAACGCATTCAAGGCTACTTATCTTGGCCTTATCATGAATAGCAAATTATCATGGAGAGAACATATATCCTAACTAAAAGAAAGCAGACTTAAGCATAGAAAAATGTTATGGCTTCTAGGTAAGCGTTCCGAATTAAAATTGAACAACAAAATTCTCCTATGTAAATCCATGATAAGGCCAATCTGGGCATTCGGCAGCCAGACGTGGGCCTGCGCAGCAAATTCTAACTTAAGGTAATTCGATGGACGCCATATTTTGTGTCAGAACGGCATGCGATGTATCGCATAAATTGATAAGTGAGTGCTTTAGTCTCCTGACAACAGAATTGCGATCTCGAAATTGGAGAAAAATGACGAGTAGCTAAAAAAATAGAGCCAGTTGATGCGATACATCGCATGCCGTTCTGACACAAAATATGGCGTCCATCGAATCACCTTAAATCAAATCGAAATTACTCAAAATGAAATTCTGCGCCAAATGACCGGGGCCAGATGCAAGGTCGATATTAGGGGTGAGCTCGGGATAGAATCTATGGAGGTGTACCTTCAGAAAGTCGTAGGGTTCAATCTTCAAAGGAACATCAATTCGCTCTGTCAATTTGATCGCCGAATCGGTTGCTGACTGATCATGCGGGGTCCAACTTGAAATCTCGGGCTGTAGTCGCCGCGCCCACGGTTCCAGAAGAGCCCCTTTCGTGGGTTCCAAATTGTCGATCTCCGGTTCCGTCTGGATTTTGTCGGGCGCCTCTCGAGCTTGTAAGTTTCGCATCGGACCATTTTCAGGCTCCTTTTGAACCTCCCGTTTTAGTATACGACTTTCGCTTGACTGCAAAATTACAATTAAATAAATTAATTGTGCTGCGTGTTTCTTGCCGGTGCGATTACACTATTTCGCACATATTGGCATTGTAAAGGTTTTTGTTATTATGGTCTAAAGTTTTTTAGATAATACTTTAAAGATAAAATTAAAACGATGAAGGGAATTTGAATTCCCATCGAGATTTAAATCGGCAATCGCCGATGAATATTCGAAAATATAAAGCAGTGGGAACCTGTCAAAAGTTAAATTAAAATCTGGGTAGCCTTGTGATGATTTTTATGAAATGGCCTTCATTTTACTAGATCAGTACGGCGTTGCCCGGGAAAATCAGCATTTTCCTGCTTGAGATTAAGGTTGAAACTGAATTGCGTATCAAAGCCCGGCAGATAACTGAATGTTTCCCGGAAAAGCTTGATTTACGGCCATGCTTTCCGGGCAAAATCGAGCTGATCCCGAAGAATGGAGGTCATTATCAGGTCCTGTGCTCTAATTCTACGTAGGCTTTCTTTGTCACGTCTTGGCATACCAACCCATGTTGGCATTTTTCGACACCGAAATCCTTTGACATTTCAACAAAACGTCGCGTGAAGTCTCCAACATTCAGAGAATTCATGGTACTCTCAGTGACGCAGGTTTCGTGTCAACTTAAGAGTCGCCGTTGATAACAAACACTCTGGATTATTTGCCACCTCTCGTGGTATGCACGTGATTGGCAAAAAATCCTGACGCTAATACTTTTTCCGTTGAACTCGTTTCAGACTGCAGACATGACAGCTGGAATTCTCTGATGAACGCTGTAAAAAAAATCTGCGTTGTTGTGAGTTGTCCGTTGTGTCTCTTCAGACATTTTTTTCCAGAGAGATAATTGTACAATTTCAGCAATATACGGTTGTGGCCTGTAGCTCTGAGTTGCCACTAAAAGGGCCTGCCTTTAAAAATGCATGTTCACTTTACACACGCGTGTATTTCAGGCAACATACAATTTGACGCACAGCACAAAAAAAAAACTTGACTACACAAATCGCGATTACGTATACTGAAATCCCTCCCTCCCCCGCTCCAACATAAACATTGAAAAAAAACATTGAAAACATTAAAAAGAAAAAATAGTCTTGATTCAATCGGATTTTTGCTTGAATCAAAACGAAATCCGCTTAAATTAAGAGGTTTGGTTCTTGATTTAAGCTAGATTCTAATGGAATCAAGAGTACTTTTTCTTGTCGATGTTTCAAAGAGTCTGGACTCTAGATCCAATGTGTTTTTTTTTTCTAGTCTGTGATTTAAAGTATGCAAATATGATCTACAACTTGGAGAAACAATAATGGGCAAATGGAAGACATTTTTGAAATTCGTTTTCTGAAAGTAGGGAGTAAACCAAGCATCTGAGAATTTTTTGAACATTTCCTTTAACCCCAAATGACAAGATGACCCCGTTTTGTAAATTTCAAAAAGGGGGACCCGTTTGTTAGGATATTTCGGTATGACGTTATAGATGGTCAGGGAAAACGGCGTTTGGTATTCGGCTGAACCCAGCTTCAGGCAGCGCCTTGCGACAAATAATTTGCTGATTTTGATTGCAGTTTCTTCCCTTAGGCCTTGTCCACGCGGTTGAGGTTCATAGACCCTCGGGCAAACTTGTTCTCAGAACCTGTTGTAATTATTCTTTAACTTATTCTGCGAAAATCCAATTCGTTGAATTACCTTAATTTGCATAAAGTTCGGCGAACTGCTCTCATATAAACAAGATCTAAAGATTGATTCGTAGAGCGTTTCAATGGGGGGGGGGGGGGGGGAACTTTGCTCGTGAAAAAACGAGTTTTATACGTAGAAATTTACGTCAAAAACGTAAAAAAATATGAAATTTATGTGGGAAATTATTTATCAACCCTGCAAAAAATCTTTGCCACTCATGGATTCCATGCCCTACCTACTTTCCTAATCGTAATTATAATTTTACATTTCCGGTAAGAGCTCTTTCGGATTTAGTAATAATGTTGCATTGCTGCCGATACCAAAACAAAGTACGATGGGTACAACAAGTGCAACGTTGTTACTACGACCAGAAATGTAAAGCGGAGCTAGAATAAACCATGATGAGCATTGTGAGAGCCTAGAGATTTTCCCTCCGTGAATGGCAATAAGTTATTGGTTACTGATACGTAAAAATTGAATCCTCGACACGTGACAAGATTGCGAAGTATTGGGCAGTTTTTTCTACCCTGAATACTTACCACACGAAAAAAAAATGTCAGGGGTTATCCCCTAAAATTGTGGTACTACCCCAATTTGTTGGATGATATGGACATTTCTAATTCATTTTGGTAGTATCGCAACTCAAGTTGGGGGAGTACCGTAACATTTGAGTTATAGTAACCTAATTTATTCGGGTACTACCACAATTAATCGGGGTATTGCCACAATTAATTGGGGTATTATCACAATTAATTGGAAATGTCCATATCATCCAACAGTTGGGACTTAACCCCTACCTCTTTTATTTCCGTGCATATTTCACCGTGAATACCATATTCATGTAATCCGTTTAGATATTCATAGTCTATCATATATTCATGTATTCAGTTTCAATACTTGTAGCCGCTCCCTAGACAGCTATTTTCTGTAAGAGAGTACTATTTGATTTCAATTAAGAGGAGGAAGTATTAAAGGGAGTCTTATACATATAGCATCGGCAAAAGGACACTTTTTTCTGATTTTGAAGTAAAATTTTACTTAAAAACGTTGGAAATAGATCCTTGCAAAGGAATACAATGATATGCAACCAGAAAAATTGTAAAATGAAGAAAAAGTTTTCGAGATTTTACAAATACATGGGGTGTTCAAGAATTTCCCGGACATATGCCAAAATCTGTTGGAACGGTGGGAGTTATTGAGCTGATCCAGGTTTTGTAAAAGTCCACATGATTCCTGATCGATTGAGACCAGAGTCGTCTCATTTTCTCAAAATTCGACGAAATAATGAAGGCATGGATAAAGGTAGGTGGTAAAGTAGTGCTGGAGCCACACTTTTTTGCTTTTTTTGTGTTTTCCTGAAGGGAACAAGTAAAGGTCTCCCACAGACTTTTTGCTGGCATTTATTTCACAAGCATCAATCTCCACTACCATTTTCTTTCATGACTTCCGTCTACATATCGAGTATACATGTCATACTTCCGCCTACATATCGAGTATACATGTCTTCATCTGTGCATTCCATTATTGGCTCCTGAGAGCACGAGTATGCTTTCAAATAGTTTTTACGGCATATTGAACTGTTTCAATTTCGTTGAAAGTTTCCGGTGCCAATTTACGTCAGTGACATGACGCCGGGTTTTGACATCTACTCATTTCCTGCCATTAAAAACCGAACATCTCTTAAAATGCACAAAAAGCACAGGGACGCTTCCAAGTCACACACACCTGACTCAGTAACTTTAGGAAAATTTTCCATATTGGACTCGCTCGGTTCCAAATCCCATCGTTAATGGGTACCACGCTACTTTGATGACGACCAGACGTCGTTGCTAAGTTGATTATAATGTTGCCGTGTATGTATTTTAATCGTGCAAATTTCTTTGGAAACACTTTTGTCATGGGAACGGAGTTCCCCATGATATTAGAATCGTTCCGTTGCTTTCGCTATGGGATTCCCTATACCTCTGCGACCTTGAGCGTTTCGCCCAGTCTCCGATTTTTGGTTGATTTTCCGATGTATCAAAAACCGTTGTATTTTTTAGCCAATCATGTCTCTACGTCAAGTTGTGTTGAT